AGAGCCGACTGTAGGCACAGGTTGCATATCAAAGGCAACAGGAATCAGTCTGTGGCAATATTACATCAGGTCCTGTACTGGTGGTGGTGTTGGTTGGGGGGTGGGCGGTGGGGTCCAAGTCCTAAAAGATGTCAGTCAAACACCAGCTGAGCTTCTAGACCTCCTTCTGTGGCCCTTCTTCTGAGCAAGTATGCAAATAATACAGTCAGGCTCTATCTCCTGCAATTAGCACAAGGGAGGGCTGAGTAACTAACTGGGAAGACTTAGCCTTCTCCCTGTGGCTAGCTTGTAAGGCTTTGAAGTGTAACTTTTGTTTTGGTTTGCTTGCTTTCTCCCTGCGTAGAAATTTTCCCTAAGGGAAAGGTGGGTCTAAAGTACCTTTAAAATGAGTTTTCACTCCCTGAACAAGGCTTGTAAAAGCTTGAGAGAAAATGCCAGGAAAAAGCATGGAAACTTTTTGGTGATAAACTATGGGCACATAATCAGCGGACAGCCGCTAACCCCAGTAGCTGCATGCTTTCTGCCATCTTCATCTACCTGAGCAAAACTTCGGGAACATGTTTATGCTGAATCTCCAGAGACAGCAAGAGAAGCCCAGCTTGGAGGAAATGACTGGACCTTGATTACTTAGGATAAAAAGAGATCAATTTATGGTAGGACTATCTATCTATTTATGTCTGCACATTCATCAGGTTTGCCTAGGAAAGGAGTCTGAGAAAATGTGTTGGAATTGGGCATTTCTGATGTCTATCCTATTCCCTGCCTTGTTTGGTAACACTTTCTCCAGTCCCCAGATCTCATTTTAGGAAATGAGACTTGTTAGCAGGCGTCCTAGAGCCTCCATATTTTTCTGAGTCTTTCTGTGTCTGCCAGCTCCACTGACGTTGTTACTATTGCTGGTTTTCCTTTTCCTTCTATTTTCTGTGAAAATGCTTAGGAGTTTTTGAGAACTGGTGGCCACCAGAGAGGTTAAACATTATAAACAATATAAAGCAAAGGAATCTTAGTGTGCTTTCTTTGGGGTGTGTCATTGCTGTACAGCTTCTCTTTTATCCCAAAAAACCCTAATCATCTTCTGGGGTGGGAGGGGTTGGAGGTGAAGGGATGGCTAGTTGAGGTGGGGGCAATTTGTGCTACACCTGTCTCTGACAGTCCTTTAACTTTTCATTTGTCTATGCAAATTTTTTGTAAAAGAGCTGTGTCCAGAACTGGTTCCTTCCAGTGGGTTATTGGTCTTGCTGACTTCAAGCATGAAGCCGTGGACCCTCGCAGTGAGTGTTACAGTTCTTAAAGATGGTGTGTCCGGAGTTTGTTCCTTCCAACCTTCAGATGTGTCCGGAGTTTCTTCCTTCTGGTGGGTTCGTGATCTCGCTGACTTAAAAAGTGAAGCCACAGATCATCCCAGTGAGTGTTACAGCTCATAAACGTAATGCGGACCTAAAGAGTAAGCAGCAGCAGCAGCAAGATTTATTGTGAAGAGGGAAAGCACAATCCTTCCACAGCAGGGAAGGAGAACCACACAGGTTGTGGTTGCTGGCTTGGGTGGCCAGCTTTTATTCCCTTATTTGGCCACGCCCACATCCTGCTGATTGGTCCATTTTACAGAGTGCTGCTTGTTCCATTTTGCAGAGTGCTGACTGGTCTGTTTTTACAGAGTGCTGATTGGTGCTTTTACAAACCTTTGTTAGACACAGAGCGCTGATTGGTGCGTTTTTACAGAGTGCTGATTGGTGTATTTACAAACCTTTAGCTAGACACAGAGTATTAATTGGTGTGTTTACAATCCTTTAGCTAGACAGAAAAGTTCTCCAAGTCCCCACCCCACCCAGAAGCCCAGCTGGCTTCACCTCTCAAAGTTATGACATTTTTATTCATTCACTTGTTCACTTAGCCATTCAACAAACATATACCCAGCACATGCCTTGAGTAGGACAAGGCTGAACGCTGTTTTTAAAAGGTATGTTTCTGTAAAGATGCACTCTTCCTTGACCACCAGACCCTGCCAAACCTTTGAGAGAGTGCCTCTGAGAGAGAATGAGCAAGGGGAACTGTCCCATTGGAAGGGAACTCTTGTGTCCTCACTCCTCCTGAGATAGAGGTGATTATGGGCGTCTTCTAAAGCACTAAGAACTGTAAGGTCTCCTTAAGGGGGTGAGGGATATAACTTTTGAAAATAACAGTAAAAACAGTTTATGTGGGGATAGTTTATGAGAGTTCGTAGAACACTTTCACGTGCGTTACTAGAATGAGCGTTGGGTTGAAGATTAGGCAGACGTGCTTCCAATAATACTTTTGAAGCACTTAACACATGGTGTGTTTCACCAAGAAGTTAACAATTGTTCACAGTTGTAGTATCTGTGAACACATGTCCCAAATGATCAGATTAGCTAACGTGACCAAAGAGGAGAGGCTTGAAATCTCTTTCACTTGGTTCCATCTCCTTATTTTGTCACTCACCTAGTGTGTGTGGTCATCCATTCACAAAACACACAGAGATGAAAAACTAACTTAAAAAATCAGGGCCGGGCACGGTGGCTCACACCTGTAAACCCAGCACTTTGGGAGGCTGAGGCAGGTGGATCATGAGGTCAGGAAATGGAGACCATCGTGGCTAACACGGTAAAACCCCATCTCTACTAAAAATACAAAAAATTAGCCAGGCGTGGTGGCACGTGCCTGTAGTCCCAGCTACTCAGGAGACTGAGGCAGAAGAATCGCTTGAACATGGGAGGTGGAGGTTGCAGTGAGCCAAGATCGCGTCACTGCACTACAGCCTGGGTGACAGAGCAAGTCTCTGTCTCAAAAAAAAAAAAAATATATATATATATATATGTGTGTGTGTGTGTGTGTGTGTGTGTGTATGGTGATGATTTTAGGGGATCAAGTCTGATTTCAGGATTTTGGGTTGCTTCTGTTCCTCTGGGTGTTTTCTTGGACCCAGAGTCAACATTTAAAACAAAACAAAACAAAAACACCTACTGGTTCTCAAGTTTTGACCCTTGTGTCATTTATCAAAAGAAGTCATGGGATCCACAATTATAGGACCCAGGACTGAGTTAATCTTTGAGGGATAAATTGTGGCACATTCTGTTTTTGAGGGCTGTTCCAAATCTAAATATCTTTGTCAGTGATTTATGATCTTCTGTGATTGTTTATTTAGTTCCCTCGGTCTAAAAAAAAAAAAAGAAAAGAAAAGAAAAAAAGTCAGCCTTTAGCGTCAGCCTTCAGTGAACAGCGGCTGGACATCTCAACAGCCTCAGCCCAGCCTTGGGCTTCTGCTGAGATGCAAGCATAATGACCGGGAATGTGATCTGTCCCCAGCCAGATGGTCAATAGCTGGAAATACTACTCCCTCCACGGTAACTACAATCTAGGGGAGGTTGAGAGGGAGGATCAGCAAACCTGGTTGATCTAAATGGATTTCCACTCCATGTTCAAGCATTTTGGGTTTGAGAAAACCCCCAATACTTCGAGCCCCGGGCATTTTTTCCATTAATATTTTAAACTGATGTTCATGTTAAGGGAAATTTAATACGTAGGTTTCTGATTCATTTACACTTAACTCATCAAAATATTGTTCTGTAAGAGATGATTGGTGTCCAAGAAATCTTAAGAGCCTTTTTATAAGCTTTTAAACTTCTTTTAAACATTAAGAAACAGAAGTTGCAGTCTCCCCAATGTAAACAGGAGTGAATCCCTGGTGGGGGGGAAGGAAGGTGGGAGGGTGGAGAGGGTGGATATAAGGCGCCAAGACACACTGACCTCAGTCCTTGAGGGACAAGAAAGTGGAGCCCAGGACTTTCCAGTCCCCACCTAGCGATCAACGTCTCACCCACAGTCAGGGGAGCAAACTGCTGGTTCTACTTTTTTGAATTCTGAAGGCAAAGGCCAGCTTTTTTTAGGGGTCCTGCTGTTGGCAGAGAAAGCTCCCAAGAGTTCTGCTGCAGAGAAGAAGGATATAGACTCCAAAATTTTACTTCCAGGCAAGGCCTCCCCCCACCCTCTTTTTCCCCTTCAAAGAAAGTGCTCATAATGTATCCTTTCATTTATAATTTTATGAAGGTCTCAATTGAACATGTAAAGAAAGTGGAAAAATTCTAAGTTGCCATGGATGTTTGGCATTTTTCCTACTATACTAAAATCTACTTTCTGCCCCAAGCAAAATGGTTTCAGAGATTCCAATAAAAGGGGGTGGAAGACAGTGAGGGTGGAGGTCTGGAATCAGAGTCTTCATGAAATATATTTGTATTTTAATTATTTGAATATGATCGACTTCTGTTTCACCCTATTTCACTTGGCTTCCTATGGTAAAATATAGCTCCTTTGCATTTCATAAAGCTTGTAACCTGTGTAAATGAACACTCACGTGTTTTATCTTGTTTTACTCATGCTTCTACAAAATGATAAATGTAGCAGAATTCAGCATCTCTTGTTTAGGTTTGTTTATTTGTTATATTGTTTTTATTTTTCCTCTTGTGTTTTCTTAAAAGAGGGAAAGCTTGAGAATAAATCAGCAATGATAAAAATTTTGTTCTGTTTTCGGAGTTTTAAAAAATTCTCATAATTTCAAGTAAATGCAGAAAGCATTCATATTCAGAAAAGAAGCCAAGGAAAAATGTTAGACACCACTTTAGATTTGACCAAGATAACATTTACAAAGTGGTGGCTTTTTTCTTGGTCTAAGTTTTAATCTATTGGTATTAGCAGTATCTGTTTTTCTCCTGCCTTGCTTTACACAGATTCATGATTTCCTAAAAATTGATGTTTTACTCAAATTGAGGTAGGTTCTTTTCTACTGTCTTACATGACTTTGGGTGCATAGACCAAGATTATTCATACGCTGTAGAAGTCGATGGTATTAAATCCGCTCGAGAAGTAAGAGAAGTCAGAGGCTAAGTTATGAAAAACCTTTGTCAAAAGACTGTAGGGTGAATGTGGTTTTTGCATCCAATGCTTTACCTGTGGTTCTAATATAGTTTTTGTGTGTCCGTCTTCTGCAGGAACATTTTCAGTAGAGCCTCTTAAGACACATGTTTTGGAATGCAGTCAAATGCGTGCTGCTGTATGACCAGCCTATTCGGTAAGGAATGCCCAAAAATTCTGTCTTGTCAGATTTAGATGTGGAGATTTTCTTGAGGAAATTGCATATAGAAATTCTTCCATGAGTTCTGATAGGAACATGAAAAACATCCTTCTGAAAAACAGGATAGACATCTGAGTACTTTGAAACACTCATCTACTACTATTGTTGAAGTGTTTCTTTTTTTGAGTAAAATTTTAAATAGTATTACTGTTACCCTAATTATACTATTGTTTATTTCACGGTTAAATTCTCTGCATCTTTTTTTTTTTTCTTTTGAGAAAAAGCTAATATGACATATATCTTCATAACTGCTATTGCCTTTTTAAAAATCTCTTTTTAAATGGTGAATTTTACAACATCCCTGAAAGCTTAGGTTTGAGGTGTGGGCCTCTTACTATCATGAGGTATCAGTGCTGATCTCTAATGTTGCTTTTGTGCTATTTGAATTATCAGTTTGCAAAGGAAATTCTTGTCCATGGAAGATAGGACTACACATATTTTCAGCAAGGTTTTGAATTTTTTTCTCTGTTGAGTTAAAGTTTTGTAAAAAGAAAAATCAACTGATGTTAATTGTGCTGACACCTATTAAATAATTATTTGGTTGGTTTTGTGATCATTCCATGTGACTGTCACAATTGCCCCAATTCATAGTTGAGAAAACTGTGGCTTTAAAAACTCATGTGATGCAGCTATTGATTAGGTAAACCAGTACGGCTCCTTGCAGTGCTGGGTAACTGGAGCATGTTGGCTGGATGATCTCTTTGTGATGATGTTTGTGTTAGCCCAGCATTAGAATGGGGACTTAATTGACAAACAGAACTGTTTACATTTTCTTTGGCATAATATTTTTTAAGTTCAGAAGAATAATTTTTATACCCAAAGCCACATTTGCTTATATCCGTTGTACAGGTATATTTTTAGTTATTATTTGTTCATTGATTCACTCACTTAATGAATGCTGACTCTTAGCTGAATAAGGCTGGAAATAGGCAAGGCGCCTGGCTTTGAGTATATGATCAAATAGGGGAAGTAATACAGAAATAATTAGAAAATCATGTAAGAAGGTCTAATACAAGTATTTTACAAAACAACCAGCTTTATCGTATGACTTTCAACTTGAACATGATTTCCTATTTAGGATACCATTTTACCAAGAATGCAGGAAGTTAAGCCTTCATAATATTTACAAACACTCCAGAGTTAACTTTTTTCTGCCTTGTAAATATCACCTCAGGTATTTGGTTTTGCCATAAAACATCGGATAAGCCCAATTTGAAATGTGATTCCTAATTCTGGAAAAAAGCAAATGCTACTAAAAGATAAGCTTCATTTTCAGTTCCTTTATGGCTGTTAGTCACCAGAAGAAGGGAAAGTCAATTTCCAATTTATTTCCAATGTTAAAACCTTCATTTTGAACATTGTTTTTCATTCTAGTTATAGCTACATCCAACCTCTTTGCAATGGTTGGAGACCCTTCCCTAAATTGCCCTCTTCTTTATGGACTGTTAAACTAGCAGAAAGCACTAATTAAATGATCATTAGCTTGAGGATGATTGATTACACTTAGATTTACATGTTGCCTTTTATGTTCAAAGAACTGCTTAAGCATCAACTAATTAATCTGCAAGTGAAGAATACTTCCAGCATTACTCTATAATTAGACAATCTCAGGAGGAAACAAGAGGATTTCAAAGGGGAGTCAGATGGTTTTGCACACCGCTACCTCATTTATTTTTTCATTGCTCAGGTAAAATGGCCAGACCTGAATCCAGTTGCCAACTCATTATTCTTATTTACAAATAAATTCACTTTAAAAAGGCTAAAGTTGTATAACAGACGATGAGCTGGAAATAAAAACAAATGAATAATCAAAAGTAATGCCTTTCATCTCAGCTGTTTGGGTTATTTCTAACACTTTATTCCCCATACAGAGTGAAATTAAGCAAGTCTGTTTCATGACATGTGGTAGACTGTCCTTTCTCTCTTTTCTTTCCCATCATACTCTTATTTGCAAGTTATTGCTGTATATGTGTGTGTGTGTGTGTAGGTAGATAGAGAATTAATACTTATTTTGGGCTTTGGTTTCCTAAGTAGTAAGTATTTGAGATAGGACAGATCGAAAATATATATGATGGGGCTGACAAACAGAATTTTATAAATATTTTTGGGAAACAAATGTTTGTGACCATAAGAATGATTGATTGATAGAATGTTGGGAATCTATTTGGTGTAATGATGCATATATTGAAGTAGAATATATCTTTATAAATTCATCCCAAAATTATATTTAAAACCATAATGACTTTTGCACCAACCCAATACGCAAAACAAGGATCTTGAATAGTAATAAAAGACAGTCGTTTTACTCAGGCATCTCATCTGTATATATGGGTCAGTAGGACAGCTCTGACCTATACATACAAATTAGGTAGGATATTAAAATGATACTAAAATGTCAAGCTTCTGTTGGTCAGATGGTTATTTATCAAACTTTCCTTGAAGCATAAGAAGTCTTCTAAGCTTTACAAAATAGAGGGATGTAGCAGTAAGCAAATTCAGTTCAAGTTTCTGTTTTAGGTTGGTTTCAGATGAGCTTGTGTCAAATGCTAAATTTTCCCTAATTCAGCAACTAGCTTGTATATGAACATTAAGTGTTTGTGGGGGAAACTTCACCATTTATTTTTTTGAAACTTATAGCTATGCATTGATTTGCATTAACTTCTCTCCCCCACTTCACTTAATCACAGTAAATTAAAGTGATGATCTGTTTTTAGGTTAGAATTTGCTAAGTGAGTGTCTTTGGGAGCAGTCACTTAATTTTCTCACTAGGAGTATGCAGTTTCTAACCTGTCAAGGACAGCCTAGATTTACCATGCCACACAGGCATTCTGATACGAAATTCAAAAAGTTGGGATTGTTAGGAGAGCTAGAAAGCACAGATTGCACTCAGTTGGACAAAGATAAACAGAAAGCATGTTTTTTTATGAAATCGGAGATTAAATGAGTTGATGGAATCAAGCCTAGACAGCCACATAAGCCAGAGTGGAAAATTATAGACTAAAATGCATCTGATATGAAGAGAATGACTCTCTCCAAAAACCCTCACTTTTTATTTGATTCAAGGAGTCTTTATAAGCTAAGATTTTAAAAAGAAAAATAAAAGCCTCCAAACAGCATGGCTTTCATCCAGCGCTTTTGTGATTTACAAGTGACCAGATTTAAAACTTTAATCATCTCACACCTAGGGATTTTTTGGGTTTGTTTTAATTTGTAAGGCATGTTCACAGACAAAATGACTCACAAAAAACAAAATCAGCCTAAACCTCCAATTGGCCCTATTCCTCTGTCAAACCAAGACAGTCAATTTTGCCCTGGGATTTCAGAGTGTCCCCAAGTGGCCCTTATATTGATGCAATGTTCATCTTGCAGCTATAATCCCTGGTTTCTTTTTGAAGTGTACTTAAGCTCTTGCTTAAGTAAATCCATTCATGGACAATTATTTAAGAGACTGGAAAATCCTTTTTCCACGTGAAACCTTTCTTCCTGAGCTTCCTTATAACTTGAGATGATAACTTCTTTGGTCGACTCCATGCCATGGATCCCACTCTGTGAACCTGTTTTATAGAGGCAGTATAACAGGTGATGTGAAGCCTTGATATACATTTTGAAGGTATGTGGAAGCCAAGAAAGTGCCCTTTGAGAAGCCCTGGTCACTTCTGAAATTGTAATTCATAGAAAGTCACTGGAGCTAAGACTTATTTTTAGGGGGAAATAGAAAAAGAAAGTAATAGAACTATGAAGATCAGGTCTTGATCCTTTCAGAGTTGCTAATGCTAATGTCATTGTTCTTATTTTTCTTTCAAAGATGGAATGACACTAGTTAGAAAAATAAAAGTCTGTTATTTAACATTTCAGATTATGCCTCCAAATCCTATGGAAGTGTAACAACCATAGAGCAGACAAACACCAACAGCATCAACAACAGAGAATCTCAGTCCAGGAGGATATGAAACCCTTTGTAATAAAGAAAGCAACAGCCATGAACATTTGTGTACACGTGTCTTTATGGTAGAATGATTTCTATTCCTTTGAGTACATACCCAGCAATGGGATTGCTGGGTCGAATGGTTCTGTTTTTAGCTCTTTGAGGAATAATTACACTGCTTTCCACAATGGTTGAACTAACTTACACTCCCACCAACAATGTATAAGTGTTCCCTTCTCTCTGCAACCTTGCCAGCATCTATTTTTTTCTTTTTTAAACTTTTTTTATAGTAACCATTTTGACTTGTGTGAGATGGTATCTCATTATGGTTTTGATTCACATTTCTCTCATGATCAGTGATGCTGAGCATTTTTTTCATATGCTTGTTGGCTGCATGTACACCTTCTTTTGAAAAATGTCTGTTCATTTCATTTGCAAAGTTTCATTTCATTTACTTTGCCCACTGCAGCACTATTCACAATAGCAAAGATATGGAATCAACCTAAATCTCCATCAATGACAGATTGGACAAGAAAAATGTGGTACATATACACCACGGAATGCTATACAAGCATAAAAAAGAACAAGATCGTGTCTTTTGTGGGAACATGGATGGAACTAGGGGCCATTATCCTTGGTACACTAACATAGGAACAAAAAACCAAATACTGCATGTTCTTACTTATAAGTGGGAGAAAAATGATGAGAACTCATGAACACAAAGAAGGGAACAACAGACACAGGGTCTATTCGAGGGTGGAAGACGGGAGGAGGGAGAAGAGCAGAAAAAATAACTATTGAGTACTAGGCTTCGTACCTGAGTGATGAAATGATCTGTACATCAGACTTCTGTGACACAAGTTTACCTATTTAACAAACCTGTGTATACCCTTGAACCTAAAAGTTTAAAAAAAGATAAAGCAACAGCTAACTTCATCCATTCACTGATGTGCTACAACTTTCTCCCATAGGAAGATGCTCTCCATAACTGGTATCTTATAGTGATTTAAAAGCACAGGTTGAAAAGTCCCTACTGGCCTCGCCACCCTTGGTACTCCTCTGACTTCAGTTCTTTCATTTGCAAAGTGGAATTGAGCACCTTCCTCGTGGAGGGTGACCAGCAGTCCCAGCTTGCCCAGGATACTCAGTTATAGCCAGTGATATGGTTTGGCTGTGTCTCCACCCAAATATCACCTTAAATTGTAATAATCTCCATGTGTCAAGGGTGGGCCAGGTGGAGATGATTGAATCATGGGGATGGTTTTCCCCATACTGTTCTTGTGGTAGTGAGTAAGTCTCATGAGATCTGATGGCTTTATAAATCAGATTTTCCCAGCACAATCTCTCTTGCCTGCCACCACGTAAGATGTGACTTTGCTCCTGTTTTGCCTTCCACCATGATTGTGAGACCTCTCCAGCCACGTGGAACTGTGAGTCCATTATACCTCTTTTTCTTTATAAATTACCCAGTCTTGGGTATTTATTAGTAGCATGAGAACACACAAACACAGCCAAGTTCCAGGGAACCCATCAGTGCTGAACAAACTGATACATTTTATCACCCTCTATGAGAAACAAATGCGAAAATGTGTGCAATATATATAACGGTGCCTGGCGCATAAGAAAAGCCCAATTTATGTTAGCTGTTATTAAATGGAGGGGGTCAAACTTGGTCTTCTTTTCCCCAGCTCCCCAACATATGCATTTCATAAAATAAGAAGGAAATGCAACTTTCCACGACCAGATGTCAGATTGGGTCACAATCTTCCTGATGACCTTGAGGGACTTGGAGCAGTGTGTCATCCATCCAGGGTAGAGTGTGGAGTGTAAACAGGATGGGAATTGAACAGTCACATAAACAAGGGCATTTTGTTTTTCTCATGTTCTCTGTGCTATGCTGATGTGGATTTCATCTCAGCCCAATTCTTCCTATGGATACTTTCAGTCCTAAGCTTCTGGGGTACCACATTTTCAACTTTATAAGGTTGGTGCAAAAGTAATCGTAGTTGCCATTAAAAGTAATGGTGGCCAGGCGTGGTGACTCATGCCTGTAATCCCAGCACTCTGAGAGACTGAGGTGGACGGATCACAAGGTCAGGAGCTCAAGATCATCCTGGCTATCATGGTGAAATCCAGTCTCTACTAAAAATACAAAAAATGAGCCGGGTGTGGTGGCAGGCACCTGTAGTCCCAGCTACTTGGGAGGCTGAGGCAGGAGATTCACTTGAACCCAGGAGGTGGAGCTTGTCGTGAGCCGAGATCACGCCACTGCATTCCAGCCTGGGTGACAGAGTGATACTCTGTCTCAAAAAAAAAAAAAAAAAAAAAAAAAAAAGTAATGGCAAAAACCACAATTACTTTTGTACCAACCCAATACCTTTCTTCATCATCAAAATAGCCAACACATATTCGACTCTTTCTATGTCACAGGTGATCTTTAATCACTTTTAGATTTTTACATATATTAACTCATTAAACCTAACAGCAACCCATGAAGTAGCAACTGTTGTTTTCCCCATTTTGCAGATGAGGACACAGAGAGATGGAGAAATGTGCCCAGGGTTTAAGATTTTAGTTGTCAGGAGACAAGATGCAAATCAAGGAGGACCGACCACTTTCAGTCTTACTTTCCTCACCTATAAAATGCCCCAATACGAACTGCTCACCTTGTTCATAGGGCTGTTGAAAGAATCAGATGATTTGGTGTACAGGAAAACACGTTATTAGTTTTCACATATTAGGCAAATATGCCCTCATTATTTTTTCATCAGACTTTTATTTGCTCACTCTTGCTGTATAGTCTGAAATGACAAACATTTTGAGAGACAATAGGACTGCCCCAACGAGGTAGATCCTTTCTGTAATTAGGGAAACAAAGCCTTATTTCTTTGGAACCCTCCCCATGGGGATGAAACTTAGAGCAAAGAATTGTCCCAAACTTAGGTCAGCGATGGCCCCACCTTTCCCCCTCTTTCAAATAGCACTTGTTGCTACGAGACGCAAAACACAAAATGAGGTCCCCGGCATCACCTTTGCTCAGCACAGAAGTGGACCGTGCCGCTTTGAAGATGGGAAACAGATGATAAAGTTTAGGCAGGTATTGAGTTACCATTCTGCAGCCTTAAACTGAAAACTAATTAGAATTCAGGCCTGTTTCTAAGAAGCCAACCAAACAACGATGTCCTTAGAACACATAGTAAAAGAAGCTGATCATTCGAGCTTGGGTTTGCTTTGGATTAGAAAGTTCAGCAGAGACGGTGTGTGAGCACTGTGCAAACTATTCACTATTCTCCAGTCCCTGTGTGCACACACCCACATGACGCTCACTCTGATTAATGAAGGCTATATATGCACACTGACATCGGCATTGGAGCTCCAGAAGCATTAGAAATTTCCCCAGGTGTAGCTAGTTTATTTTCAGGTGTAGACAGGATGGTCATTAAAAACAGAGCCAGATTTGGTCTCCTACCTAAACTCAACACCTCCTCTGCCCCTCCCCTGGCAGCATTTTTATGCCTGTGAAGCCTGTCTTTTCCTTGTTGGGCATGCAAACCTTTCACTCATCAGAGGCCCAGAGTTCTTTGGAAGCCTCGGATATGTCAGTATCAGTAAACTAATGGAAGCCATGTGTTCGCAGAATGGAAAAAACCTGGCATCCTAAGGCCCCAGACATGTCTTGCCATAAACAGGTCTAAAGCAGAGACTCTTTGAGTCCTTTTCTCTTCATAGTAGGTTGTTGGTCACCCTGCTGATTAGCTGTTGATAATGTTGTTTCAAATGATTCCATTCCTAAACACGAAGCTCTCATTCTCCAAGGGCAAGGGAAGCAGCTAAGATTTGTTGACTACATATTAGGTGCTATGCAATTTAATAATTTAATGATGAGCACAATGATTATATCACCTGCTGTGTATTTGGTGCATAGGCCTGCTAAGAGCCCTATGTTGACTGATTTATTTAATCCTGACCCCAAGTTGGGAGGTAGGTATTGTCTCATTTTATGGAAAGGAAACCCTTCCTCAAGAGGGTTGAATGATGTGTCTACTGGTGGTCAGGAGTGGGTTGGGAGAGCCCCTATACTTGGTGTACTTCTTATCTTCCCTGGGGCACAATAACTTGGAAAGATATGAATTATGGTGCTAATTTTATAACTAAGAAAGCTGAAATTTAGAGAGTTTGAATAAATTTTCTAAAAACATGTGACTCTCTGGTAAATGACAGCAGAGAGGAGATACTCACATAGTCTACAAAAGTCAGTGTATTCTGCTGTGTTTTGCCACAGGGCAGAATTTCTAAGGGGAGAAGGGTTAGATTTCCCAATAGTCAGACCAGGTGAGGTGCATACTCACTGTACCGCATCATATCAGAAGCATCAAAAGAGAAGTTTTTAAAAGAATTTGGTTATTCATGGAAATCCAAATGATCAAAGTAGTCATTAAGGAAACCGAAATCTTTTGCACTTCTTGGTTAGGTATTTTATATTTTTGTATCTTCAGTAAAAAACAATGTCAAAATCTCAGTGGCTGAAAATAACTAAGATGTATTGTTTACTTATACTACACATTCACCATGTGATATGGTTAGGCTTTGTGCTCCCACCCAAATCTCATCTTGAATTGTAATCACCATAATCCCTGTGTGTCAAGGGAGAGACCAGGTGGAGGTAATTGAATCGTGGCGGTGGTTTCCCCTATGTGTTCTCGTAATAGTGAGTTCTCACGAGATCGATAGTTTTATAAGGGGGCTCTTCCCCCCGCCCCCTTTGCTGACCACTTCTCCTTCCTACCACCTTGTGAAGAAGGTGCCTTGCTGCTTTTCTGCTTTCCACCATGATTGTAAGTTTCCTGAGGCCTCCCCAGCCATGCTGAACTGTGAGTCAATTAAACCTCTTTCCTTTATAGATTACCCAGTCTCAGGCAGTTCTTTACAGCACTGTGAAAACGGACTAATATACCATGGGTCAGCCAGCAAGAGTATGGGACAACAGGGTAGGGTAAGGTGGGTTTGGTGCCACTTTGTCCTCATCAGGGGAAGCAATATGGAAGACCTTCCACCAACT